TTCTTCTTCTTCTTCTTCTTCTTCTTCTTCTTCTTCTTCTTCTTCTTTTTCTTCCATCTTCCTCCTCCTCCTCCTTCAACAATGTAGTTGTGAGTCATTAGGGGCTCATCACCATATCCTGGGATGATTCATTCTGTTGCATAGGAGGTGTGCCACCCACAACTCCTTCCAACTACTTTCCCAATCCAGAGACCTGACTTCTTCCTCAAGAGTTGTGGTAAACACTTGCAACTGAGCTTACAGAAACAGGATGAGAAATAAAGAGCAGAAATGGCTACCTCCATGTCTGAATCCGGCTAAAAGCACCTCTCAGCTAACTATCCCATGGGCAACTTCAAGCACCAATTCACTCCTGATGATTGTAACTAAGGAATAAGCTGGTCTTCTATCCCACTTGGGCAAAAATTGTTTACTGACTTGGAGGCTGGTTTTGTAAAACCAGTTACACAATTGTATCAGACTGGCTGTTTGAAGAACCTCAAAGAACCATCACTTCCTCTTGCGAAGACTATAAAACTTGCTACCAGCAAAAAAAAACAACCCCAAAGTTCTAAAAGATGGATGAAGATGGATATATGAGTATAGATCCAAGTAAGAGAGACCATCCCTTGCCATCCATTAAAGGAAAGAAAGGTAATATCTTACAGCTACTTGTTTTTCTTTTTTTTACTCTGCATATTGGCACTAAGGATTTTTTTTAAAGGGAAAATTTAGAAAAGGGTGAAAGTGAATCTAGTTCCTATTGTTTCTGGGGGGAGGGGGAATTACATTTCTTAAATGTCATTTTTGTTTAACAGAGAACTCTTTCCTTGATTATCTACATGTCTTTTGCTTTAAATTCTTTCTGTATATCTAGCAATTATGAGAGGGAGGGAGAGAGACAGAGTGTTTGGTCTGGTGGTTAAGGCAGCAGACCAGGAACCAGAAACAATGAATTCTAGTTCTGCCTTAGCCATAAAAACCAGCTGGGGGATTTTGGGCTGGTCACTTTCTCTCAGCCCAACTCACCACGCAGAGTTGTGGTTTGGGGGGAAAATAGGAGGAAGAAGGAGTATTACATATGTTTGTCGCCTTGAGTTGTTTATAAAAATTATTATAGGATATAAATGTATAAATTATATCCAGAAGCTAGAGACTAAAATAGAGAGGTTGGCTGGCTGGCAGGATAAACAACTGAGCTTTTTAAAATGGCAATAAATCTCATTTCCTACAACGGGACAAAATTCTGGAAAGATAAAAACCATTTTTAAAGTTTACAGAATTACAGAATGTCTGAGTTGGAATGAAACCTGGAGGTTTTCTAATCCACTTCCTGCTTAAGCAGAAGATCCTGTATGATGACAGAGAAATGGCTCTTCAATCTCTTCCCACAACGTCTGTTCCGCTGGAAGGGACCTTGGAGGTCTTCTAGTCCAGCCCCCTGCTCAAGCAGGAGAACCTCCTATACCATCTCAGACAAGTGACTGTCCAGTCTCTTCTTAAAAACCTCCAGTGTTGCAGTGCCTATGATTTCTGGAGGCAAGCTGTTCCACTGGTTAATTGTCCTCACTGTTAGGAAGTTTCTCCTTAATTCCAGGTTGCTCTTTGATTAGTTTCCAACCATTATTTCTTGTTCCGCCCTCTGGTGCTTTGGCAAACAATTTGACCTCCTCTTCTTTGTGGCAGCCCCTCAAATACTGGAATACGGCTATCATGTCACCCCTAATTCTTCTTTTCTTTAGACTAGCCAGACCCAAAACCTGCAGCCGTTCTTCATGTTTTAATCTCCAGGCCTTTGATCATCTTGGTTGCTCTCACTGAACTTTTTCCAAAGTCTCAACATCTTTTTGCCTTTTTGGCTTTGTAGTTACAGTGGGCTCTAGCACTTAGATCATTAGGGAGAAGTACTCCAAGGTCCTTGACAGAGTTTGGATCATCAACAAGGTCTTGACTATTCAGCTTGCATTTTATTTTCTGATCTTTTTTTGCCAATATGTAAGACAGAGCATTTATTTATTGAGATTTGAAGTTGCCATTTGTTTGACCATTATGATACATAGTTGAGGTCTTTTTGAAGGGTAGCAGTATTGTCGGTAGTGTTACATCATCAGCAAAGAGAACACAGTTGCTCTTAATATGATCACAGAGGTCATTTAGGTAGAGTATGAAGAAAGTTGGTCCTAGAACGCTGCCTTGGGGGACCCCAATGTTGGCAGGTACAGAATTTGATAGGACGCTCCCAATTTTGACTATTTG